TGAACAGTCCCAGGCTTTCCTCAGATGCATAAGATGAAAAAAGACAAAAATGTGCCTTGTCTTCATTCTGAGTTTTAGGAAAGATTGGAGGCAGGCCTAAACTAATTCCCCAAATCATCCGTAAGGAACTCCACGTAGTACTGAACCTGGCAAAGGACTTGGGAAAGAGAAAGAAATATGGAGCAACTAGTTGCCTCTTAAATTTGTCTTGTGGCTAAAAAACAGTGTTGTAAAACAATCAAATGTGTTAACTGCCCAAATCTCAACACCCAATCACAGTGTTTTTCAGACATTTGTAGTTGAAAATCTTTAAGTTATCTAGGGAAAACTGGAGTTGGACTAGAAAATCATAGCATAGTTTGAAGACCACTTCTTGAAGCACTGTTGAGAGATTGGCCCCATCAAAAAATTTACAATCATCTATTAAATGATTAAAAACAGAAACTATGACTGAGCCATGCCATAAAGAAAGTATCCTTTGCAGGGAATTTCTTTTACAGCATCCCCCTTCCCTACCTTAGCAAATTGCCATACACCTTCTTGAGGAATTCTCTTAAACTGTGGTACCCAAAGATGTGCGGGGCCTTGTGCCAAATAATGTAAGAAGCCATAACGTAAGGAACATCTTCATGGGACAGCGACTTTACTAGGGGGTAAGTAAAAGTTTTATTGGTAATACAAGCCGAAGTGTTATAAAGTATACATTTTACATAATGTTTGCAATATAAAATCAGATTTTTGAGGCGGGGAATTTTATGGAAACATTCCTCCAGGAGTAAGTCAGAAGAGTTTGAAAAACAAGGTACTCATTCCAAGGGCGCCTGTATTACTTTATTGGCTAGCTTTGCTTGCTACAAGATCTTTTCTTAACCTGGGCGCAGTGGCCTGCACCTGTAATCCCAGCACTTTGGGAAGCCAGCGTGGGCGGATCGCTTGAGCCCAGGAGTTCAACACCAGCCTGGGCAGTATGGTGAGACCTCATCTCTACAAAATACTTAAAAAATTAGCAGGGCCTGGTGGCACATGACTGTAATCCCAGCTACTCTGGAGGCTGAGTTGGGAGGATTTTGCTTAAGCCCAGAAGGCAAGAGGCTGCAGTGAGCTGAGTCCATGCCACTGAACTCCAGCCAGGGCCACAGAGTGAGGCCTTGTCTCAAAAGAAAAAGATATTTTCTTAAGTGTCCATCATAAATTAACTGTTTTTGACTGGGAGTAGACTTTGTTATTTCCAGACAGCAGAGGAGACTCACCCATTTTTTAAATCAGCTCTCTTCTTCCACCATACACCCCTGGCATTTCATCCATTCTCATTATAAAGTCATTGTTGGACCTGGTTCCTGTCAACTTGATGCACTCCAAGGATTCCAACAATAAGGAGTGTGGTGCAACTGGTTTCTGGGTACTCTGGAATGAATGGGAACATTCCATTATCTGGACACTTCATTCTATCAATGTGGGGGGATAATTTCAGTTTTTTTTTTACCAGCTTCATCATAATTAGATTTGGGATCAAGTCACAGCCTCAGCCCTCTTTATCAGCAGCTCTCTTTAACCCAAATCATAAGGCATCTACCCTTCTCAACTCTCAACAAATTTCATATTACTTCAGCCCAGTTTTACTCATAATGAGATCACAGTCTACATATGTATCCTTTTGATGTCTTCAGTCTTGTTTACATTAGAATTTTAAGTCTTCAGAACATTTTGAATACTGAGTACTCTATTCCATGCCAGGTACTGTGCTGTGGCACAGGATACTTGTAAAAATAACAGGAATCAAAGAGGACAAGTTTTGACAAATGTTAGAAAAAAAGGTACAAAATGATATAAAATACATAGTAGAGGAAATTGGCTACTGAGGAAAGTGATAGCCAGGCTAATGTTGAGCCCTTAAAAAGTGCCAGCCAAAATTTCACTGGTCGTGGTGAAAAGGCAGGAGTTGACAGAGCAGATTGACTGGAAAAGCTTTCCAGCGGTGGTAAGAGTCTAGGCAAAGCCTTGTGGGAAGCACCATGGGACATCTGAGGAAGTGAAAGAAGGCAAGTGTAGCTAGATCAAAGATTATAATGGGGAGAAGGATTAATAGGGGAATGGGAAAGGGCTAAAGAGATAAGGAGGGGCCAGACCTCACAGTCTAGTAAGCCGTGAAAAGGATTTTGGTATTCTATATGGAAAATCATTAAGCAAAGGGATGATAGATTAATAAGGATTACTAGTTGGTAAAGCTAAGGACAGGAAATGTCTTTCTGAATTAGTGACATAGAAGTTGCTGGTCACATCATGTTAGTGAATGAAGCACAGACACAAGAGATGGTGAATAAATTGGTCCATGAAATGCATGGAATCAAGAGATTCTTGGCTGCTGAAACAGGAGTTGGTGATGCCTTAGATACAAAATTTGGAGAGAGAGAAGTATTGGGGATGATTTCTAGGTTTCTGGGTTGTAGTAACTGATGAGTGGAAGTTAATTGATGAGTGGAAGTAACATGAGATAGAAAATCAGACATGGGGTGGAAAGTGATGAGCTCAGTTTGGGTTGTGTCGAGACATCCAAATGATTGTCCAGTAGGGCAGTTGAAAATACTGAGTCCAGAGAAGAGGACCAGGCTAAAGATTTGAGTTCTCTACCAGTTTTGCTGGTCATTAAAGCAGAGGGTGAGGATGAGATTGCCTGGATCTGGGAATGAGAACAGGGCCTGGACTGTGTTGTTCACTGGCTTTTTGTAGTGGAAGATGCATTTGCAAAGGAAACAGAATGGCCAAGGAGACTGCTCTCAGAAAACCAAAGGAAAAATATTTCAGTGCCCAGTGATGTTGCTGAGAAGTAAACTTAAGAAAAGGAACTGCTCTTTGGGTTCAGTGATGTGGAAGCCAGTAGTCTCCTTAGTGAGAGCTGTATCAGTGTGATAAGGCAGGAACTAGGAGTAGTGTCAAGACAAGACAGGGATCTGATCAGGTTTTTCATTAAGTTTCTATTTTGCTCCCAAGGGGAGGTGGGCAGGATGTTCCCTAATGGGTGGCTAGTTACTTACAGCACAATACAGAGCATTGGGGGCTAGATTGGCCATACTCAGTCACCAGTTATTTAACTGAGCAGCTACTATATGACAGACTCTGTAGTAGATGCCAGGGATACAGCACTAAAAAAGCTAGTCACAGGCCCTGGCCTTGAAGACTTATATTGTTAGTGGCAAGAGTCTAGCAATAAGTGCATAAAGATCATTCTATCTGGTTTAACTGCTCTAAAAAATGGTATAGGAAGTGACTAGGGGGGAAAAAAAAGTCTTGTGTTCAGTGCCAGCAATTTTTTTTCCTTTTTTCTTTTCTTTCTTTTTTGAGACAGAATCTCACTCTGTTGCCAGGCCGGAGTGTAGTGGTGCCATCTTGGCTCACTGCAACCTCCACCTCCCAGGTTCAAGCGATTCTCCTGCCTCAGCCTCCCAAGCAGCTGGGATTACAGGCACGCACCACCACACCCAGCTAATTTTCATATTTTTAGTAGAAACGGGGTTTCACTATGTTGGCCAGGATGGGCTCAATCTCTTGACCTTGTGATCCACCGCCTCAGCATCCCAAAGTGCCGGTGTGAGCCACTCCACCTGGCCAGCAATATTTTTATAAATGTAAAATACACATAAAAATTGCCATCTTACCCATTTTTAAGTGTACAGCTCAGTAAAGTATGTTCATATTGTGCAACCAATCTCCAGAACTTCATCTTGCAAATCTGAAACTATCCCAATAAATAACACTCCACTTCCCCCTCTTACCCCTCCCATGCCCCCGCCCCTGACAGCCACCATTCTATTTTGTTTCTGCAAATTGATTAGACATTTCCTGTAAGTGGAATCTTAAGTATCTTTTTGTGACTGGCTTATTTCACCAACCTCATAGGATTGTTGTGAAGTTAAATAGAATAATGTAGGTTTGTTACTGGACCAAACCGGGGGTCGGGCTGCTTATTCTCGCAGCCCAATAACAAGATGCAGATGAACTGGGGAAGAAGAGAGTTTTTATTTCTGCAACTGATTACAGAGAGAAGGCCTGGAAATTATCACCAGACCAACTCAAAATTACCAAGTTTTTCCAGAGCAAATTCTAAACTATATATCTACATATAAGTGTGCATTCATCTGAAGCCATAACTGATTAACAATTTCTAATCTGCAAGATCTGAGTCCTTAAGACCTTCCTCTGGAGCCTCAGTAAACTTACTTAATCTAAATGGGTCCAGGTGCTTGGATTATTATCCTTATCTTGTCTCCTGCTAAATCACGGAGGTTTAAGGAGTTTCTTCAGACCCCCAATAAAACTTGTTTAATCTCAAACAGGTCATATTAAGAATTCCATCGTTATCTTCTCATGCTTCAAGGCCCAGGGAAGGCCTAGGCAAAACTCTCAGTGGACTTTTATTACATTCCAGCCTTTGTAAATGGGCGCTGGCTCTTTTAGCTTTTAATATTTAAGTTAACCAATCAGTACTGAAACAGTTGTGATGGAGGCCTGCGTTAGTGAGACCTGGCCTGCCACAGATTAAAGGCATCTAGCGCCAAGCCAATAGGATTTACCCTTCCTCTCACCCACACTTTTGCTACTTTTCTGGGTTTTTAAGAAATGGAAAGATGTCAGAGTAGGCCACAAAAGCTTTAAGCCCGCTGGAGACTGAAAACACCCTTGGCCCCCCATCTCCTTGGTAAGTCTTGAAAGAGCCTAATTAAAACCTTTTGCCTCCAAAATTCTGCCTCTGGCCTATTGGCAAAATTTCCACTACCTGTGCTTCACTTTGTAGCTTAACGTAACGCTTTTGTTAAAAATCAACCATCAAAAGGTGTGGCCCTATTACCAATCCTTTGGGCTTGGTTCAGGAACAGGTTTGGTCGAGGCAGTTAACAAGTTGGTGAGTACGAACCTCCATCAGCTGGACCTGGCAAAACCTCTGGGCTTAGCAGGCTGGCAGGGTGCGAGGTGGGCAGGGAATCCTTGCTCCGGCCCCGCCCCGGCCGAGGAGCCCCGTCCCTCCCCGGACCGCTTTGGCCAATCAGCTCCGCTCCTCCTGGGCGATCCGGCTCTGCCCCTTCCTGGTCAGTCCTGCCCCATCGTTTGTCTCCCGGCTCTCCTTTACTCTCGCGTGGTCCCGTGCTGTCGGTGTCGGGAGCGGGAAGCATGGGCGACAGGTGGGAGCTGGGGGCCGCGGCGGGCGGTTCTCTGCTGCTGTGTGCCGCGCTGCTGGCGGCGGGTTGCGCCCTGGGCCTGCGCCTGGGCCGCGGGCGGGGGGCGGCGGACCGCTGGGCGCTGGTCTGGCTCTGCTACGACGCGCTGGTGCACTTCGTGCTGGTAAGTGCTGTCGCCTAGACCCTTCGCCCCACCATCCTAGAGAGTGGGAGCGGGGGGAGGCAAGGCGGGGCGAGGGGGTCCCGCGGCTTTTTGTAGCGAGCTGGCCGCCCCTCCCCCTGCGGCAGGAAGTCTGCTGGGAGCGGAGAGGCGCCTCGAGGCCGGGGCGCGCAGAGTTCTGATAACCAGGTCTGTGGACAGAGCGCCACTTGCCTTGTGCATCCGATTCCTCCACCAAAACTTAAAAAAAATTCTGTACGTGTTGTGTTGGTTTACAAGATAGTCAAAGGCTAGAGCCTCGGCTTCCTCGGCTTTGTAACCTGCGCGTAAATGTTGAACTGGAAATAGAGTTGAGATCGTTTTTTAAATGCCCCAGAGGGAGCAAGGAGAGATGCTTTCCCCGGAGGGAGCAAGGCTATTGCGCAAAACCCAAAGGCTGTACCAAAACAGACCAAACACCCGTGTCTACTGTGTGCCAGGTACATTGATGAGTTTAAAATTTCATATCTTTACGGCATCCATAAACTAGTTGTTTCCCATTTTACAGAGGTGAAGGCAGGCGCTGCAAAGTTAGGTGACTTTCCAGTGCCACACAGCTGGCACGATTCTCAGGCGGTCTAGTCTGGCTCCAAAGCTTGCGTTCTTTGTATCAGTCGAGGTCTTAGGAAATATGTGCACTTAAAGATTCGACCCACCTTATAAAATAGCCAGGAAGGTTGTGTTTAAGGCATTTATACTGAAATGCCCCGTCCACCTCCCCACAAACACACACACTTTAAAGTTTTTTTTGAACTTTGTCCAAATATATATATATATATATTTTTTTTTGTAACGTTGACCTTACTTAACTCTAGACACACCTGTGGCTAATGTGAAGCCAAAGTCGATAGTATTGAGAAAGCAGCAGAGTTTTGGGTAATCATCGAGTTCTGTAAGTGTTTGCGGGTTGGCTTTGTGCCCATGACTGATGTTGCCGGAATTCTTTTTTTTTCTAATAACTTGTAGAGATAAGGGACAGTGAATGTTTCTCTCAACTCGTTTAGTTATAGAATTGATTTTTTGTTGTCTTTTTGTTTTGTTTTTTGTCCTTGAGACAGTCTGTTGCCCAGGCTGGAGTGCGCTGGCACTATCGGCTCACTGCAACCTCCACCTCCTTAGTTGAAGCGATTCTTCTGCCTCAGCCTCCTGAGTAGCTGGAATTACAGGCACCTGTCACCACACCCAGCTAATTTTTGTATTTTTAGTAAAGATGGGGTTTCACAATGTTGGCCAGGCTGGTCTCAAACTCCTGACCTGGGATAATCCACCTGCCTCAGCCTCCCAAAGTACTGGGATTACAGACTTGAGCCACCGCGACTGGTGGAGAATTGATTTTTTTAGCTGTCACTTGAACACAAGGTCTCCCACAAAACGGGGGAGATAAAGCAGGTTGCTAGGCTCACTTAAAGGAAAATGTATAACCTATCTGCTGGGCTTGGTGGTTCACGCCTGTAATCCCAACACTGTGGGACGCTGAGGTGGGCAGATCACAGGGTCAGGAGTTTGAGACCAGGCTGGCCAACATGGTGAAACCCTGTCTCTACTAAAAATACAAAAATTACCCAGGTGTGGTGACAGGTGTCTGTAATCTCAGCTACTGGGGGAGGCTGAGGCAGGAGAATTGCTTGAACCCAAGAAGCGGAGTTTGCAGTGAGCCATGATCAAGCTACTGCACTCCAGCCTGGGCAACTCCATCTGGGGGGGAAAATGTATAACATATCTTAGACATACAAAAAGCAGCTGGGTGCAGTGGCTCACACCTATAATCCCAGCACTTTGGGAGGCTGAGGTGGGCAGATCACGAGGCCAAGTGATCGAGACCATCCTGGCCAATACAGTGAAACCCCGTCTCTATTAAAAATACAAAAAATTAACCACGCGTGGTGGCGTGCACTGTAATCCCAGCTACTAGAGAGGCTGAGGCAGGAGAATCACTTGAACCCAGGAGGTAGAGGTTGCAGTGAGCTGAGATGATGCCACTGCACTAAAACCTGGTGACAAAGCAAAACTCTACATAAAAAAAAAAAAAGCTCTAAAAATACTTAAACTGTATGCATGTGTTCAACTAGTTTAAGACTATTCACTTTCAAACACAGGTTGTTACAGGTAAACGACCCCCACCTCCTTTTGTGACACCTTGAGGTATGGTCTCATGTGGAGTTACTGCTCTGCTCACCCCCATAAGCTCCCCCCTGCCCATTTCTGAAGCAGATGTCTGCCACCAAGCCTTATCTTGTGTCATTACCTACCGCAGCTGCAAAATATTCCACTGTATGAATACACTATACCTTGGTTCTCCAAATCTAAGATCTACATTTTTCACGTTAGAACAATCAGCTACATCATGTAACTACTGTAGACAATTTGATATTTTAATGTCTTTGAAATTGGGATGTGTCTTATATTTGATGAATATGATTACTTAACCAGCCCGTATTAGTGGACACATTTTATTGTGTCATTACAAACAGTGCATCCACCAACGTCTTTGTACACGTGTCTCAGAAATCAGTGGAGAGAGCACTTGATTTAAGCAGTTGAGGCTGCAAGAAAATACATGCCCATGTTGTCTTTGGGAGTTTATTGCAAGAATACTCGGAAATATGGGACAAGCTAAGACTAAGATGTAGAGCCTAGGGGAGAACCGAAATTATAACTCACTTATTCACTAGAATATGAGTAGCCCCTCCTTACCCCTTGACACTTTTTAGAGGAGCTATGGGGCCGGGCGTGGTGTCTCACGCCTGTAATCCCAGCACTTTGGGAGGCCAAGGCAGGTGGATAACAAGGTCAGGAGTTCAAGACTAGCCTGACCAACATGATGAAACCCTGTCTCTACTAAAAATACAAAAATTAGCTGGGCGTGTTGTTGCGCACCTGTAATCCCAGCTACTCAGGAGGCTGAGGCAGGAGAATCACTTGAACCCGGGAGTCGGAGGTTGCACGATTGTGCCACTGCACTCTAGCCTGGGTGACAGAGCAAGACTTCATCTCAAAAAAAAAAAAAAAAGAGGAGCTATGTAGGTTTTTTGGCTGCCATCAAATTGAGAACTCTCCTGTTGGACAGTTACAAACCAAGCATTCCCAGGGAAGTTCATTTCCCAGATGTCCAAACAGAGTGTGGTCACCTTGGTCTTCAGTGCAGCCCGTTATGGTTACAGCAGAGGACAGGCTGACTTCCATCAACATACCTGGGAGGAGCCATGACAGCATACTGGAAGAAGGAAATGGTGGGCTCACCATTCTGATGTCGCTATGGGCAGCCCAGGCACTGGTGCTTCATGAGTAAAATTTTCTCTCTTCTGCAATCTAAATATAGCATTCAGAGCATTCAGGCATGGCCAGAAACATGAGGCAGGATATAAATGCCTGTGTGTGGAACACATCCTGGAGTCCAGATTGACAGAAGCACAGGGTTTACCTAAGGAAGAAGTGGGTGATCTCGGCTCACTGCAACCTCCACCTTCCAGGTTCAATCGATTCTCCTGCCTCTGCCTCCTGAGTAGCTGAGATTATAGGCATGTGCCACCACCTCTTGGCACTTTTAAAAAGTTCTTCTCCCAGGCCAGGCGTGGTAGCTCACCCCTGTCATCCCAACACTTTGGGAGACCGAGGCGAGAGGATCACCTGAGGTTGGGAATTTGAGAGCAGCCTTACCAATGTGGAGAAACCCTGTCTCCTAAAAATACAAAATTAGCCGGGCATGGTGGCGCATGCTTGTAATCCCAGCTACTCAGGAGGCTGAGGCAGGAGAATGGCTTGAGCCCGGGAGGTGGAGGTTGCTGTGAGCCGAGACTGCACCATTACACTCCAGCTTGGGCAACAAAAGTAAAACTCCGTCTTAAAAAAAAAATAGTTTTCCTGACCACTTGCTTTATCACGAAGCCTGAAGTTACCTTTCCACTCATGTCTGTTCCTGTCTCCTGGCTTCCCTTTTCTTTCCTGCCATTGTCGCCTGCATTCAGTTTTCCTCTAAGATAGATCTCCTCTCCAGTAAGTGGATGCACAGTCCTCGTGCTATTTGGCAGGCCTGATGAGTCAGTGTTGGTGTAGCTGTATATGGATGGTAAACAGAAATACCACACTGAAGGCCCGTGAGGTGGCACTCAGAGTGACCCACCGTCTCCCACCTTTTTTCCTCTTTTTTTAGAGGCAAGGTCTCGCTCTATTACCCACGCTGAAGTACAGTGGCATGATCATAGCTCACTACAGCCTCAAACTCCTGGGCTTAAGATATCCTCTTGCCATAGACTCCCGACTAACTGGAGCCACAGTACATGCTACCATGCAAAAATTTGGTAGAGATGGATTCTCCCTCTGTTGGTAAGACTGGTCTTGAACTCCTGGGCTCAAGCAATCAGCCTGCTTTGGCTTCCCAAAGTACTAGGATTGTAGGCATGAGCTACCATGCCCAGCCCCAGATAAATACTACTTTTTACAAATAGAGAATTATACAATTCAGTGTTTATTTTTACCATATTATTGTATTCTGTATCAGTAGCTATTAAACTACCTCATAATTTTAAGTTACTGCGTAGGATTCCATTATACTGTAATCTATTTAACTGGTTTCTAATTTTTAGTCTTATAGGTGCTTTCCAGTTGCTGGCAGTAGCCTAGAATGTTCTCTGTGCATTTTTATGCACTCGTCTAATTATTTACTCAGGATAAATCCTGACAGTAAAATTGCTGGATCTAAGGGAAGTCAGTTTTTTTTTTTTTTTTTTTTTTTT